ATCGCCATCTTGATCTCATATCTCCTCCACAGGCTGCCTGTGTGTGTGTGTTTGTTTTTTTAAATCTCAACGAACTAACCTGTGAGCAGCTGCAGACTTTATTGAGATTCTTCCAGAAGAAGCAACAGCAGCAGCGGCGGCGGAAGCCTGCGTTTTAGTTTCCCTGCTGCTGCTCTCAGCCAATAACAGGCGGGGTCACATGTTGCGTTACCAAAATACTGAGAGTGGCGCTCACCCATTGGCCGAAGGGTCGTGATAGCGACGGCTGCACACATTTCCAAAAAAATATGTGGCACATATAACCGTGTCTGCTGAAGTCAGAAGGCCTCTGCAGTCTCTGTGAAACATATTTTTAGCTTTCAGTCAGCTGTGTTTTGAACCAACTGAGGACAAAGCTCCATAATGATGATGGGAAATGTGAAAATATGAACCAGAGAGCGATTAGTATGTTGGTGTCGGTGCACCAGATGCTTGCCTGTCCCAGCTTAACTTGATAAATTAAGCTGGGACAGGCAAGTTGATAAGAGTGTCAGCAGCATCCACATCATCTGTGTGCCCAGGGCTCACTGCAGAACCAGCTCCATTGGACTGGATTGGGCTGCTTGTTTCTGCATCCTTAGAAATAAAGCAATTAGTCAGAGGTGACTACAAGTAAAAATTGCAGACTTTTATTGCTTAACATTACAATTTATACAAATTGAGCATAATGTTATGGGAAGAGATGATTCCTCCTGTTACTGCTTCAGCATAAGTGGGTGGAACTGGTCAGGAAGCAAGGGAAAAGTTCATAGCTGATGTGGGGGAAGGAAGAAAGAGGGGCAAGCATGCAGGTTTTTTGTGATGGCAAAATGATGAGGTGTTCCTGATCTGCAGTTGTCAGTTTCTGTCCGTCTGTCCGATGTGGTTTGAGGGAGTAATTGTGGTGAACTGGCAACAGGATTGCTACATTAACCTTTCCTCAAAATTCTACACACAAATATCCCATCAGAACAATACGGAAAAAAGTTTTTGAGATTTTCGCAGATTTATTGAAAATAGAAAATCAAGAAATCACACTTATGAGGTGAACAAGAATCCAGATCACTCTGTCAGAGCTGCAGCATTTCTCTGTAGAGGGAGGAGAACCGTCCACAAGGAAAACCATCTCTGCAAAAATTCACAAACATTCCTGCATGCCAAAACTCACTCTTTAATTAAAGTCACAAAGGTGCACCTTCAGGCACCTTTGCAAAAAGGTGCCTGAAGGACTCTCAGACCATAAGCAACAAGATTTCCTGATCTGATGAGACAAAGATCAAACTCTTTGGTATAAAGCTCATCACCAGGCCAATGCGGAGCAGCGTGGCAGCAGCTTCATGCTATCGGATGTTGTTATACATCCTGGGTGAAAACATGATCCAGAGTACTCTTGACTTCAAAATGGGGCGATGCTTCAGCAGGACAACGACCCAACGCACACGGCCAAGATATCACAGAAGACACTTCAGAACCACTCTGTGAATGTTCTGGAGGGACCAAGCCAGAGTCCAGACGTGGATTTGATGGAACATCTCTGGACAAAACTGAAAACTGCTGCACAGACATCCTTCACCCAAAGGGGCTGAGAGGTTCTGCAAAGAACAATGTGTGAAGTCAGCTCAGTTAGTGGTTCGTGTCAATTATTATGTTAATGCTATTTTTTTATTTTATATTTTCAATAAAACTTAAAAAATAACAAAAAAAATCCAGATGCACTGTACATTGAGATGCATTTAAGGCAGTGAAATGGAGAAAGATCTGACTCAGTTTAGGTGAATCGTCAAGCTCCTGCCTCTCATAGACCCAAACTTGAGATAGATGGGGACTGGTGAGAGAAAAAAAACATCCGACCCTCTCACTCACCCCTGGAGGGGCTGGTTTCCTCCACAATAAAAGTAGTTAAAGTTTATAAAGTTTTCACATAATAAACTAACGATACTTTTTCTTTGGTCAAACGTCACAGCCTTTGCAGTTCCCAAAACACCACAAGAGAGAGCCCTTGTTCAAAAACAAAACAAAACAAAACAAAAAAATACTGAGCAGCTCTGTTTAAAAGTGATCTTTAAGAACTCATATGGTTTATAGTGTGAGCTATGATTATGAAGAGAATGCTAAAAATTATGAATTGTGAAAAATCCTGATCAGAGGAGTTGCTTGCCTATTTTTGAACAGCTAAATCATTTCTCTTTTTTAATCCAACTAACGTTACAAGAATGACATTAATTTTATTCCGCGTTTTTTTTTTTTTTGGTAAAACACCTCACGCATGCTTCTCTCGAGTCTCAGCTCTGAGCGTCGTTTTCAGGGGGCAAGCCTTATTCAGAGGCTTGAACGGACTCAGTGGGGACCGTGTGAACTGTCGCGGTTCAGGCGGAGGGTGGCGCACCAGACCAAAGGATTGCGTTGAGGCCCTCAGCGGTGGTCACCACGGGTCAGAGCGCAGCGCCTGACAACACGAGGGGCCACAACAGCGAGGGCCGCCGCTGCGCTGAAAGGCTGAAGGACTGTAGGCTTGTTTGTGATTCAGTGTTTGAATGTGTGAAGATCCTAAACTGAGATGATGAACGAAGTAAAATTAAAAAAAAAAAAAAAAAACAGGAGGTTTTTGGCAATGACAAAAATCAACTTGATACACGTCTAATGCGAAAATCAAACAAGCAAAAAAATAAATTCCAGTTCTTCAGTTGTGAAAGCATTAATCACATTTTTATGCCAATAATATTTGTTCGCTCAACTTTCCATAGATAGGTACAAATGTGCATCACGTAAATCATAATCCTTCTTTAATAGAAGTCTGTGTTTGAAACTTGAGAGCAAAAACTGACACTTTTGCTCTCAAGTTGTATTTAAAATTGAACCTCACAGAGAAAGGTTTCCATCTGAACTTTAGTGTTCAGATGGGTCTTTGCTCCCAGGACGACCTGCAGTTAAAAACAGCAGATTGAGCAAATACTTTAAAATACAACAATGTTAATAACATTATGATGGGGGGAAAAATGCTCTACGATGTATTTTTGATGCTTAGCATGAAAGAAAATCTTTTTTTCACTGACAAGGATGAGTTTCCAGTTTAGACGCTCATCCTGAATGCGCAAATCTATTTTCCTATGTCGTCTGCGCAGTGCTATATGTGCAGACTAACTTAGCCGCCAGGGAATATTTGTTTTCTGAAGTTAAAACATTAATAAAACATCCACCACACTTTATGAGTCAGCGGAAACCCCCTAAATAAACAGAGAAAGACGCAACTTAAGTCTAATATTAAACAACGAATGAGGGGAAAAAAATCGGTTTCATTCATCTAATCAGATTTTTATTAAATGTTTGGTAGATAACTAGAATAAAGAAATGGAAACATCACATTATAGTGGGAATAGCACGGGAGAAAAAAAAACAGGCCCGGCTTAGCTCCGCTGTGACGCAACACGCAGTGTAACCAAGTCCGACGCTTAAAACGTTCAGTGTTTAATTTAGTCCTTAACAAAAGCAACAACCCACAAATCTCTTTACATCTTAAAGCACAAACACATAAGACAAGTGTTAAAAACTCCACACTGGAGTAATTGGATTTTCTGCCCCCGTCCCTCTCTCTCGCGACAGGCTCTCTCCATGGTGCTCCCAAAACTTTCCAAAAGCCTCAGATGTCTTGTGAGCTTTTGCTTTCCCCTAATTCGCCAACGGGATCAAATATACATCTAGCATGTCGAAAGTTTCCAGATTAAAACGCTCTCAGACACACAAATAAACACACACACAAAATAAGAATAAGTAGTAAAACTGTTGTTGCGCATGAGAGCGGTCGGAATCTGTGCGCACACAATAAACCTGTTGTGGACCTTGCTGTGAAAATATGTTTGAAGAAGAAGAAACAGCCAATTGTTGTATGAAATGTATTCAAGTATAAAATAATGCCCTTTGTTTGGGGGAAAAAAACTTGAGCAATGTGAGGGTACAAAAGTCCCCCTGTGGCATTTACCAGCAGCCTTTGTGCTGTTTTTGCGCTCTGGCGTCTCCACTTGGCGCATTACTCAGGCCCCTCTAAACGCGATTGTTTCTTTCTTTCTAATGACATTTACCGGATCAAAACGTGCTGTTAATTCGATCAGAAAGCTTCACCCTTCGCAACAATGGCAGTATAATTTCTCCCAAAGTTTGTTAAGTTGACCGAAATTAGGCAAATGAATAGGGGTCTCCAGGCTACGCATCTCGCAGGTGACGGGGAATAATGCGCGCTCGCACCAGCTGCATTCTTCTTTATTTCTCCCTTTCTTTCACTGCATTATTAAAATTTAGGCCAATGAAACTATTCATTCCACTGAATAGACATTTTCTTATAGGATAATAGGATACAAATTGAGCCTCTCCAAAGAGTCTCCAGTGGTGGGTAACCCTCGTGTGCCAGAGGCTGCTGGAGACGCCGGGCCTCGACGCAGACGACGCTCGTGTGCCAGCGCTAATCACACACCTGCCGAGGAGTCCTGCGAAAAATAAAGAGGCGTAAACAAAAAGCTTGCCATCTCTCATAAAAGATGGACGTGTCAGCAAGTCGTGTGAGAACCGGCGGGAACAAACGGGGGGGACTCCGTCTCCAAAAGATCTCCCCTGAACTCGGCGGAACAGCCTATTAAAGGCTTACTTAATTACTCTAATGGTACTGGACAGGCCTTAAAACTCTGACCGGGGCTTGGATGGGAGTTAAGATCGCTTGCTGGGATTTGTAAACAGGCGATCGTGTGAGAAACGCGAGGTGGAACAGAAAGTTTTTTTTTTCTCCCGTCTTTTTCTTTTGCTTGCCGCTTTGTTTTGAGTGCGCACAGTGCGCCCCACCGGATCAGGCCGATCCCGTTTCTTATTTCCCGCCTGGGTTGTTACTATGCAAATAATATTCCAAACATAATCACGTGTCCTTTGAAGAGCCACGTGGATTAACAAAACAGGTTAACCCCCCTGCCTGTTTCAGATTTTTTTTTCTATTTCTTTAACTGATCCTAAACGCACACATTTACCCGAACGCATAGCTCTTTAATCCCATGGAATAATTTACGCCGTGAATGCCGGAGTCCCCTAGGATGGTCCCTTTATAAGGGGACAGCTTCCCCTGAAATTTCAGTCTTTTTCATCTGCCAGGAGACTTTCACACCTCTCTGATTCACAGCTGAACTCATTTTTTGGACTTTTCCTCTGACAGTCGTCCATGGCATCAAAGATGAAGGACAGGAAGGTACGCGCTTCTTGTGCGCTCCACATTTTGCGGACTAACATGATTCTTGTACTCGTTATGACTCGTGTTCTGGGTGTTTTATACTAAGAAAAAAAATTGCATGCACTCTATATGAAGTAGAGTCGCTGTGTGAGGCGATATCATCTCCATCAAAGTTATGAGGTGAACTAACTCGGTGCGAGCGTTCTGGGTAAACTTTGGCGCACTAATAATGTAGATAAAATATTTTAAACGTTTCAAGTATATATATATATATTTTAAAAAATTGTCTACCAAATGGATATGGGTAGGCTACATGATATATTTCTAACATACCCAATCTGATAAGATGATTTTTCTGTGGAACAGTGCCCGCTTCTGCGCGCCAAAGCGCACGGCCCAGATGATACTTTACAAGTTTTCAACCGTTTTAATTGTAGAGTTTTTTCCACTGATTATTTGAAAAGTTTAAAGTGTATACTAATCTTGTTTTTCTGTATTTTAAAATTTATTTCTTATTTTTGTGAACAGAGAACTCCAATTTCCCACAAAGTTATTGAGAAAAGAAGACGGGACCGGATTAACCGATGCTTAAACGAACTGGGAAAAACCGTACCGATGGCGCTGGCTAAGCAGGTATTTTTTTTTATGAATGTATGATTAGTTATCTTTTTTTTTTCATTAAATTTGTAAAGACAAAAGTTGGAGGAAGACATAATTTAAAATTGGATTTAATTTAAACTTTTTTTTTTTTTTTTTTTTTTTTGTAAGACTTTACATGTCTTAATATTTATTTCTTGTAGAACTCTGGAAAACTGGAAAAAGCTGAAATCTTGGAGATGACTGTCCAGTACCTACGAGCTCTGCACTCCGCGGATTTTCCCCGTGGGAGAGAAAAAGGTGGGTGAACCTCTTGCATCGCTCTTATCCAGCAGCACCAGAGTATCTTCTGCTCAGCTTTACGCAGATCTGTCAGGAGGGTAAAGATCCCCCCTCACTTTTTGTTTCACTCCAGGCGAGCTGCTGGCTGAATTCGCAAACTACTTCCACTATGGATACCACGAGTGCATGAAGAACCTGGTGCACTACCTGACCACGGAGGACAGAGCCGAGACCAAAGACATCAAGTACGCGCGGATTCTCGCCTTTTTACAGTCCAAATCTCGTGCGGTCACCGAGCCCGTGTTCGGCTCCGTGGCCTCGATGTCCGACCCGCCCGACTACCTTGGCCACCTGCACTCCTCCCCGGAGCACCAGAACCACAGCCCCTCGGACTCAGTGTACCAGCCGAACCCAACAGGACACTTCTCGTGGCACGGTTCCGGACGCGGTCAGGGCATCTCCTATCCGGCGGTGCCGCTCTCTGCGCACACGCAGCAGCACGGAGGATACTTGTCGCCGGTGCAGGGACTCGATCACCATTACTTCAACTTTATAGGTCACACGCACGCAAACACGTTCAGTTTGCATAGCGCTCAGCACGCCATGTAAAATAAATTAGCTCTATTTTAACTTATGCTTTTAGATTATGTAAATACAATATGAATAAATACACTATTTCTCCCTAAAAATCTGTGTTTGTTATTCATGTGTTAGAAGTTGGATTCTACATGCGAAAATCCTCATAATGTATTATTTTCCCTGTGTTGCAAAGAGGTGAGATCAAGTCTGCAAACCCAGCAAATTGTTATCACTAAACCAACGCTTTTCACCCGCTTATTACCAGAACTAAAGAGAAAGTAGATTCTTTTGATTTTCTGTCTGAGTTTGTGCGCCTTTCCAAGGTAGGCAGTTATTTGGTCTGACTGCACGGTTTTTACAGTGTAATAACTGTAAAGGGCAGGAAAAAGTGCATGCGTCTGAGCCGACAGTACGGTAATGAGAGGGTTCAACCTGTATGAGGCCCGAGGCAGAATTTCAGCCACAACTTTCAGCTAATCCTGCCACAGCTGTCTTGCACCTGCATGGGAGAGTTGGGTAGAGATTAGTGTTTTGTTCACACACAACCAGGGACCTCAGGATGGGTCTTCTGTGCCTCAGTAACATCTTTCGATCCAAATTCAACAAAACACTGAAAACCATTGAACTACTTAATTTTAGATGATCAACATAAAGTAGAGATTGACAAGTGGAAAGAAAACAAGGCATCTTCTTTTTTTATTTCTTTTACTAAAAAAAGTGTGTCATGTGACACACTTTTTTTAAATTATCATTCTCCATTCAGGCTGAATGGAGAGCATCCTTGCACAACAATGTTCAACTCTTGCCACCCATTTTTAGTTGGATTTAAGTCCAGGCTATTTTCACACATCCATTTGTGTTGTTGCCCTGAAAGAAGGTGAACTTCTGTCACAGTCTGAAGTGTTTTGCGTGTTGTACCATGTTTAGCACAGCATAATGCTGCCACTATAGCATTTCACCAAGGGTATGATGATTTCAATGTGATATTCTGTGTTTGCTTGCTGCCACACAAAACATTGAATGTAGCTGAAATAATTTATTGTGATATAATCCTTTCCACAACTTTGTCCCGGATCTGCCTGCTGATTATGAGCAGCATCATGATCTTCATGATGCTGTTCTTTTATTCACATCATTCTACGTTGAAGTCTTCAAAGAATGGCCCCGCTTATACCTAGATTAGTTAGAGTTCACAATTAACGTATTTGACGGTTTCTAAAGGTAACACGGAAGCAATGGACTTCTCATGTTGAGGTTTATGGGTGTCAGAGTATTTGTTGTAAGCATCATGACAGTATTGTGATTAAATACAGATCCACAAGCCACAATTTTTAGTTTTTATTTGTAAAACATGTTGGAAACCATGTATCCTTTCCTTCATTTTTGCAATTAGGCACAACTTTGAGACTGTTTATCGATTTAAACCTTTGAAAATATGTTGAGGTTCTTTTGTGGTAAAGTGAACTAACATGATGTATTTCAGAGGGAATATTTTTACATGGTGCTGTTTTAGATGTAAAGATTGGTTGATTGTTCAGTCAACGACAAACGCTACAGAAAAAGAACTGAATGTATTATTTGAAGCGTGATCTGAGTTGAAAAGTGCACAGCACTATTCTTCTCTTGACTTACTAGAACCAGTCACAGTTTAATTCATAAACTAAATTAAAAAACCTGACTCAGATCAGAAGAAATTTGTCTTTGGCACACCGATTGCTTCAATACATAATAGAGTGTCTTAATGAATAGCATTCAGCCTTCTTTCTTCCTTTCTTTACTCATAGGTCAAGTTTTAATTTATTTAAGAGGAAAGGAAAGGGAGAAACGAAGAAATAGGGGAAACACCGTCTTGTTTTCTAAACCAAGGAGCCCCATTGTGGTGCATCTGAATGGAGAACAATCTCAAAGTCCCCGAGCTTCATCCTTGAATGATTATGAAGAACAATAATCAAGACCATGAAATCTAAGTTTTTCTCTGGGAGGAGAGAAAGAAAACAGTTTCCATGCTCCTTCCTTCAGAAACAACGTTAAAATCACCACACAGACCTCTCACTGCTCCAGTTCCAGGCTTAAAAATCTAAACAATTTGCAGGTGTCCTCACATGAATGTTGGTTTATGTGAATTGTTAGATGTAAAAAGGGAAGGAATAAGGGAGGATGCATAAGGCCGCATTAATCGGCTCGGTGGCTGGATAAACCCACATTAACCAGTCTCTGACCTCAAAGACGGGCAACAAGAGAGCAAATGAAAGTAATGGAAGATAGTGTGAACGCAGATGGAAAAGTGACAATAAGATAAGGGGGAAAAAAAAAAAAAAAAACGAGTCTTTGAGAGAATACTTGGATCTCGACAGACACAATGTTGGTTTAAATCTGAACTCCAAACAGAAATAAAGGGGATCATGTGCAGCCACACAAGAGAAATCTAGCAGAAGCACATCACATGAATAATAAAATAAGCAGGAGTAATAACAGAGTCAGGACCATTATTGTCATGTAAAATGAGCACAGTGGTAAAGCTTTGGCTGTTTATCTTCCACATTAAACTCAAACGGTGAACATCAACAATAATATTCATCAGTTTAGCGAAAGAGATGAAAAAACTTACATCTACATGAACTCTGAGGGGAATGAAGTCAGACAAGTTTAAAAGAAAACTCACTGAATGGCAAGATTTTATTGTAAACTAGAAAAACAGTTGGGGCGTTGAGAAATCTTAGATCTTATTTTTATTTTGTTTTACCTCACGCACAATCCTAATCATTGTTTTAAAATTTTAGTCACAAATAATTTATAAAATTGATTCACATTGTGTTTTAATCATATGATTTTGAACTTCTCTAAATTTGTCTCCCTTGAACTTCAGAAAATGTGATAAAGAGGATATATGTCTTGGAACTTAGTAATTAATCCCATGCCTTGGGAGATTTTTACCATGAACTTTTCAGATATTTTCCTGTAACTTATCTGTTACTTTCCCAGGTTCATAGGTCTTCCAACTGGATAATGACCCGAAACACAGTAAAAACGATCAAGAATGCCTAAGAACAAGACATTGGACTAGTGTGAACTGGGCTTTTTGAACATCTGTGGAAGAAGCTGAAATATTCAATCTGGAGAAGGCACCGAATCAAACCAGAGACAACTGGAGCAAAGAGTGGGCCAGAATATCTTTGGACAGGAGCAAAAGTTTATTTGATAACTACAGATACCGTTTGATTGCCATATCGAACGATATGCGTGTATCTTGTATTTTGTGTGTGATGTGTGATTCAAAAAAATGGGTTTGTGTCAGGAAATAACTAATGTAAACATTGTGCACTTCACAATATGCCAATTTGACAGAGGGTGAGCAATAGACACACCCTTTTGCTAGAATATTTTGCTAGAATTGGACAAGAAGCTTTAAAACGGGTGTTAAACTTGCACTTAAATACATTTTCCTGCAGTTGTTGATGCTGTATTGAAGCCTGACTGAATAGAATGTCATTTTCAACATTTGTAATATAGAATGTTACAAATGTAACATTCTATATTACATTTAGAATGTAATATAGAATGTTACATTCTATATTACATTATGTTACATATATGTTACATTTGTAATGTAACATATTACAAATGTTACATTTGTAATATAGAATGTTACAAATGTAACATTCTATATGTAATATAGAATGTTACAAATGTAACATTCTATATTACAAATGTTGAAAATGACAAACATCTAATGATACATTAAATTTATGCTCATGCAATTCTTGTATTTGAAAAGGTTAAGTGAGGTATGTTGTGTGATCATTCGTAAAAAAATTATTAAAGAAAATGATTGAAAATTCCAAACTGATACATTTCTAATTGAAAAAAAAAATCTGTAGTTTTACTCTTTTTTGTTTCAGGTTCTGTTGATGTACAAAATGTGATACAGTATATATTGTATTAGAAAATTAAATTATTTTCAATTCTCAAGTTCAAGCAAGGTAAATTGCTTGATACAGCTTCATTGGGGAAAATTGTTCAAAAACCTCCCAGATTAAGGTGTAAAGTAATTTTGTTGATTTAACCAACATGTTTCTGTGGACTGAATTGCACTCAGACTGAGTTGTTCAACTAACATGAGTCCCAACATGAACCTGACATAGAATCTGTGCAGAGAGCTAAAGGTTAGGGTGACGGCATGAAGCCTTTCCAAAGCCCTGGAGCTCATTACCAAAGATAAATCATCAAAACTACAATTGAAAACATGAAAAAAAAATCCATTTAACAAAAATGAGAAGAGTTGATGGCTGGAATGCCAACAAGAATATTTCCAACAAGTAAGTATGTCACTTGGTTCTACTTTTACTTTTGTTTTTTGAACAATGTCAGATTTTCTACAAAAAAAAAAAAAATGATTGAATGAAAATAATTTGTAATGTAAATCTTCAAGACAGACAAGCAGATGTGTGTTTTCCTCTTGAATCTGGTCAGTTTAAGATGTCAGGGCATAAGAAGTTTAAAAAAAAATCTTGAACTGCAAGTGCCTAAAATCTGCTGTTTGATCTTTGCATCTGTGCAAGCCCCGAATTCAGACTTTCCTAAGCTTCTCAACAGCAAACGCCCTACTGCTGCGGGTTACAGTCGCTCGTTTGGAGCAAGGCCAAAGACGCAACACAAGCTGTGAGAGAGCCAACAGTCAGCACTGGTTGGTAATCAGAGTGCCCCAGTGGCACAAGGTCCAGAGCCAGCTCACCTCAGGATGGTTGTCTGATCTACAGCATGAAAAGACAAGGGGACGGAGGGTAAAGCTGGGGGCCTTGGGGAGGCAGACAGTAACAGAAACAGTCAGTGTAAAGAGAGAGAGAGGCTCTAAGTCTGAGAGCAGGGGGAGAAGGGATGAAGATCATTCCCACAGCAGATAGTACTATCTCACAGGGTTTAAAGGGCCCCCTTTCTGTACAGCCCCTGCCCCTGTTAAACCCCCCACTTCTTCCCGCACCAATAATGCCAAAACTTGGCAGCCAACCCAGCACATGAGCAACAGTTTCCCATCAGAGCGAGGCAGCCATCCTACTG